GCAGGTTTTGCAGCATCTCCTTCAAAGCAGAGGGAGCTCTGCTGACTTCCACCACTGGGGATGCAAACCAGGGTATTTAAGGTTCTTCTTCACCCAGGGGCACCAAATGCTCTACAATTCAAGGTTTTAACCCAATAAAGTGAAGATTTAGGATAGGGTGCAACGGCTGTACCTCCAGCGGCAGGTTCCACGCAATGTAGACGTGCCATTTGTAGTCGTCCATCCACACCTCGGCCACCCGCAGAGCGTTGCGCTTGGTGTAAAAGCCAATGTTGTTGTTATAGGGCTTCTTCTTGCGCTCGATGTGAGCCACCCTGGAGCAGGGCAGGACCTCCATGCTGCCACCACACAGCCACACCTGCAATGCAACCGCACAACACCGTCAGCACAGGGCTCTGCCACGATGCAAAGGGTCTGCATGGAAGTTAAAGAGAAAGAAGTGGCGGGTTTTGAGGTTTCTATAACAATCTGGCGAGCACCGAGCATCTCATCATCTAGCTGGCAAGTGGAGACCCGTGACCAGGTTTGGTCTTTGCTCAACGGTGAGACAGGCAGAGAGAAGAATTTAACCTGTGCCCACAGCAAAACAAGTGTCAACTTTAGAGGGATCAGGTTTATATCCAGCACGTGGGATTAATGCGTTGTAGGATCAGGTGCTGAGTTTACAGTGATGTTGCTACTAAATAAAAAGGATTAGTGACTGGAATAGTTGAAACAATTGCAAGATTTCCTCCTGCAGAAGGGATGACTCACTGAAACATATGGCAGGGACAGATTTCTCCCACTTGAAAACATTTGTTCATTATTTTTCTTTCACATGCTGTTTAAAATTCCCTTAAATCACAGATTAGAAGTTAATAAAATCTTTCTTCTTTATATCACATGGAAAGGGAATTCGCAGAAAGACTTGCCATACCTGTGTTCTTTCCTCCTTTTTTGTCTTCACCAAGAGGTTATTTATCTTAAATTAAAAATGCATATCCAGGACACCAGGCACTGGGCAATCATTACAAACACATATGCCAAACAGGCCTAATAATCCCAGTTTCGCCTATTTTGCAGTCTGCTCTGCATTATCAATTTGCACAGTTGTTATAACACCCATCGTTTCTGGGATCCCTTCCAGGCTCGCCACCTTTTATCCCATCTGCATTCCCTAAATTTTACCGACCCTGCTCAATCCGCTCTCCCAGCAGCACAAGGAGCCTCCTGGCTGTATCAGCTGCCCTTTTTAATCTCTAAGCCGTGGGTTTAGCCCCCCCAATGTAGGGCACATGCACATCCCAAGCCCAGGTGATACTAGTAAAGGGCAATACAGCAGGGAGATGTCTTCCCTTGGGGTAATCCTGCTACTCAATGCTGTTCTCACTTGGACTGCTGCAGAATATAGGAGCCTGCATCAAAAAATCAGAGCCCCATTTTATTACCTGGTGATTAAACATGTAGCAAAAAAATTCCACCTTATTCCTGTTCTACCATTTGACCTTTCTGAACACTTTTAAATACAATTTCATGCCTCCAGAGCAAATTCACAGCTGATGTCTAAGACGAGGGGCGTGCCCATCCCTCCTATCCAGCTGCAACCACGCTCATCTGTGGCCAGCAAAGTCCACAAGGTCTGCTCGAAGTTTTGCAACAGGCCACATGCTGGCAAAGCAAATATGAAGTGGACAAGGTAGTTCCAAAGGAAAAAAAAAAATTAAAGGAATATTCTCAAGACATCAGTTTGACAGAAACTGCCCATGTTTCTTGCCTGCACAGTTCTTTAGTTTCTCAGTCTCCGTGAAATAAGAGCATCGAGCTCTGCCCTTGGGTGCTCCCAAAGCTGTTGGGTTCAGCCACAACGCTGAATAAAACTGCCAGTCCTGGAAGATCCCCAGCAACACCTATTTTTGTAGTTTCAGGAATTTGTTATGTTTTGGCCTGATTTGAGATCAGAATAATTTTTAAAAAAATGTAAAAACAGTGACATAATTGATATGTCATTTCCCAGCAAGCTTGCCTCTAGCAGTAAAGGTGCACTACTGTCCTTCTATGCTTTAATTAAGTAATTCACATGTCTTTATGCTAGACAGCTTTCCTAGATTTCAGGAATATCTGTACAAACTGGCTGGAAATGCACATACTGTAAGAACCTGAGAGAGAAAGATTGTTGGACATTGTGCAAAGGCACTGGTTTTATACAAATCCTCAAGCCAGTTCTAGAGAGATTGATAAAAATTTAACACAAAAAAAGGCACTTATGCAAGGAAAGACTAATCTTCTATCTCCTAAATAAATCCTAAATTGTCATTATAAATTAAAAAATCTAACGATTTTTACAAGGCATTTATAAACATTTCTGCTGTTAACAACAGGAGCAAAGAAACGTACTAGACAGGAAACAGGCAAGTTGCACCCGTCATCGCTGTCCTTGGTGTACAGAGGAGTAAACCATGGCCCCACGAAGACGTTGCTCAT